CTCTCCAAGTCCCTCTCGACGTCAAACATTATCTCGGACGAAACCCTTGTCCAACTCCTCTCGCTTAACTCCCTATATCTTTCGCTTCAACCCCTCCTCCCTCCCTCCCCTTCCCCCTACCACTCGCCCTTCTCATCAACTTCTTCCGTCTATCTCTCCCCCTCCTTTCCCATCTCCCTCCTCCCCTCCTTTTCCGCCCCTTCTTCCAACAATTTCCTTTTCGTGACCACAACATAAGCTGGTTTCTGTCACCAGCTCGCGTTTTCTCTCGCTTCGGGTTGGGTTCTGTTGCTCAGTGTTGTGTTTGTAAAGTAAATGGGTGAGTGAGTGAGTGAGTGAATGATGTGTGTGTATGCTTTGTGTGCTTTGTATGCTTTGTGTGTGTGTGTGTGTGGTGTGGTGTGTGTGTGTGTGTGTGTGTGTGTGCGTGTGTGTGTGGTGTGTGTGTGTGTGTGTGTGTGTGTGTGTGTGTGTGTGTGTGTGTGTGTGTGTGTGTGCGTGTGTGTGCGTGTGTGCGTGTGTGTGCGTGTTGTGTGGCGTGTGTGTGCGTGTGTGTTGTGTGTGTGTGTGTGGTGTGTGTGTGTGTGTGTGTGTGTGTGTGTGGTGTGTTGTGTTGTGTGTGTGTGTGTGTGTGTGTTTGTGTTTGCCGTATCGGTCCCACTAATGAAGATTTTTATTTCTTTGTTCCACATTTTCAAAAACGCCCAAGGAAAAGAAGTGCCGAAACGTTTGTATCAATCACCTGAAAAAATGCATTGTTACCGGTATCAATATTTTGCAGTGAATTACGAGAAGATTCCACGCAAGAGCCTACACTTGTAAGTTACAGTGCTAATCGAGTTCAAAAATAAGATATATTTTCAACCGTGAATTTTGAGGTAAGTGTTAAAGCAGTTAAATCTCACCAACTTCATATGCATTTTAAGACATTTTAACATTTGACAGTTTTATTAAATTTAATCTTCAGGAAATATTTTTTCCTTCTACTTCGCCAGCACTCTCGTAATAGACCCCCTTTTTCCTCTCTAACTTTCACTTCCTCTTCCTTCTCCTCCCCCCTCGCTCTCTCTCTCTTCTTCACTTTATCCCTCATCCTCTTCCCCTTCCTCTCCCTCTCCCCTGTTCCCTTTCTCTCTCTCTATCCCTCATTCTCTTCCCCTTCCTCTCCCTCCTTCATTCCCCCCTTCTCTCTCTCTCTCTCTATCCCTCTTCCTCTCCCTCCCCTTTCTCACTCCTCTCTCTCCCTTCTTCACTCTATATAATCCCCCCCCCCCTCTCTCTCTCTCTCTCTCTCTCTCTCTCTCTCTCTCGCTGCCCTGACATCCACCTAATCTCCTCCTCTCCTTTCATACCCACCTATCCATTCCTCTTCCCTTCTTATTCTCTCTCGCTGCTCTTGCTATTCTCTCCCATTCCATCCCCCTCCCTACCTCCCCCCATCCCGAGACAACCCCACGGGGCAGCAAACCGTAAGAGGCTGAACAAGGAGGATAGTGAAAGGGCTCTTGTCTGTCAATCGTTTAAAAATGGAGGCTAAAGATACAGACTAATTTGCATTTGAAGAGTGTTGAGACGTGGGTCTGCAGGGGACGTGGGGGGGGGGGGAGGTAAGAGGGGAAAGGAGGGCACAAGGAGGGTAAGAGGGGGGGGGGAAGGAGTAAGAGGGGGATGGGAGCAGCAGGCAAGAGGGGGAGAGGAGATGAAGAGACAGGTGGGAGAGAGAAAAGAAAAAGAGGTGGAGAGAAGAAAGAGGAGAGAAAAAGAAGTGGAAGAGAGAAAACGGAATGCAGAGGATAAAAGAACATTATCATAAATAGAAATATAGACGGACGAAAAATAATCAAAAGGTAAATAAAAAATAACAATAGTAGACAGTCAAATCAATAAGAAAATCGGAAGAAAGAACGAAAGAAAGGGAGATAGAGAGAGAAGAGAATGAGAGAGAAAAGAGAGAGGGAGACACATACAGACAGAGACAGGGAGAACCAGAGAAAAGGAAAGAGAGACAGCCACGTAGCCAGACAGACAGAGAGGGGGGGAGGGGAGGGAGGGCGCTGTGCAAATGAGGCGCGGGCTTGTCATGGCCATGTACGGGACACCTTTACCTTAATGAGCTCCCTCGTCATGACAGACTCCGGGGAGCGGGGGGGGGGGGAGACGGAGGACGGGAAACACTCATGGCTCTCTCCATTAACAGTTTAAACTCTGGGATTTAACCGCCTAATCCCCCGCAGGAATGATGGTGAATTGCTCTGTATATCATCTCACTATATTAAATAAGATGATTTGCTTTTCACGGCCATACTCCTCCAGGGATAAGAGGAGTGACGCACGGAAATCTGCGTACAATAATTACCTCCGGAATGATTTTCCAAAACAAGAAAGTGGAAAAGAAAAAACATGAATATACTAATAGCCGCTGCATGCTGAGATGACAACGATAAGAAGAAGGCGACGTTGATAAATGTGATGATAAAGACGATTATGATCCGTATTTGGATGCAGTAAGCAACCTTCGTGACCTCCACCTTTCTGCGCGCACTAGTCTAATCTTCTATTTTCCTTCGGTCTGTTTACGTTCCCTCGTAGGACCTGCCCTGACCTTCACGGCTCTCTTAACATTGCTCTTTCTCACTAATCTATTTCCCTTCGATCTATCTAAGGTCAGCTGATGACCAGTCGCGACCTCCGCATCCCTCTCTCTCACTAGTCTATTTTCTCCCGATTTTTCCTAAACTCTTCCAGTGACCAATCCTGACCTTCACGCATCTCTCTCTCACAAGTCTATTTTCCTTCGACGTGTCCGGGTTCTCCAAACGACCCATCCTGACCTCCGAATCGCTCTCTCCCTCCCTCTGTCCCGCTTATCTATTTCCCTCCCCCCTACCCCCCACCCATGTTTTACCTCTAGTTCCACAGATGACCCGACTTGACCTCGGCCCTGATACCTCCACACACGATTCCTTATTCCCTTGGCTGCTCCCCTCAGAGGCTGCCCCTTAATGCGAGCTGCTTCCGGGCTTTCTTTCGATCGAACCCATTTCGTCGAAACTGTTTCTTTCTCTTTCAAAATGTTTACGGGAAAAATGATTTTTTTTCCGAAATGTGATGTGGTGTGTCCGTAGATTTTCCCCTGAGTAAGAAGATGATTTAAAAAATCTAGACAACAAAACTTAATCCTATTTTTAAAAAAAATCTCTTTGTCTGCCTGCCTGCCTCTC